TTAAGTCTAGTTATTAAGCACCTATCTGTCTTACCAATATAATCACTATTGCAGCCTGGACATTTAAAATGATAGACAACAGAACTTCTGTACTCCTTAGGGGTTTGATCCTTAGTAGATATAAAATATATATAGCTTTCTTTGTTTTTGTAGGTATCTTTGATCATTAGAGTAAGAATGCTTTGATCTTTTGTTTAAATCACTGCTATGTCACCTACTAGAGGTAATGTTTTGATTGGTTAAACACTTTTGGTGCTAGTGCATATAAGCTTGCTAATATGGATAATTTTTTCATTCCTGATGATGACATAATTAATGTCGAAATATTGAATCCCAACACGATGGCGTGTATTTCAATACTTGGAGTCAACAGCTTCAAGGTAAACAGCGCATACTTCCTTGTGCCTATGATCTCAGCAGCATTAGGTATAAAGTTAGACAGCACATCCAAACTTGGGCCTATGATCTGTCAACAGCTCCAAGTTAAAGGTAAATAGCACATCCGAACTTGGGCCTATGATCAGTCAGTAGCTTTAAGTTAAAGGTAAATAGCACATCCACACTTGGGCCTATGATCAGTCAATAGCTTTGGCTTTAAAGTAGACAGCATATTCTCATATAGGTATGATATTTGGTGCATATAGATTGAGATACACTCACATCCCAGGATTTGTATTCCCTAAATTTGTTATAATAACAAATAACCCTTTCATTTCATTTATATATTCAGAAAAAATAAATCTCCGGTACCCAAGAAACACTATATTCATGACAAAATTCTAGGGTCACCAATAACCCATATCAGTTCTTTATTTAGTTTTATTTATTTCCTTATTTATTTATTTTATTATTTATTTATATATTAATTAGATGATTAGACAATTAGTTGACAATTATTTGATTGATTGAATGAATTATTAATTATGTATTTATTCATTTTGCACTTGATTTTTTTTTCGAAGGGGCACCACTTGTAAAGCTATGCTTATTCGTGGCTGCCTGATTTCTTTTCATTTAATACTTTTGTATATACTGATTTTGAATAAATATTTTTAAATTGAATTTAATTTGAAATTGAATAAAATCTTTCCTTCAACTTTATTGATCAGGCGTGGATCCATTAGGGAGGCACGTTTTGCCACTAAATTTTTAAATTAAAAGGCACATATTGAAATTAGCACTCTCATCTATTCTGAATATGTTGGACGCCCCCCCACCCCACCTTCATTCTGGATCCACCCCTGTTCATCATTTTCCAATCATAAACAAAGTTTTTTAACACCTAAAAGGATAATAAAAATGAAACCAAGCAACAATAATAAAAATGGTATTCTAAGCCATAAGTGAGCTTTTGATTGTTGCAAGCGAATAACAAGGTGGCGAACTTGTTGTCTTGTCTCCTCTATGCCATGAGAATTTTCAATAAGGTAGTCTGCAAATTCTTTTTTCTTTTCCAGTGGCATTTGTGAATTTATCCTCTTGAGGGCATCCTCTTCCGGTAGACTATTTCTCTGCATAAGACGCTGAAGTTGCGCCTCTCCATCACTGCATTTAAATAGTTAAAAAGCATCTTATTCAAAATTCTACAGTGATACCAACAACAAGAACAACAACAATAAAAAAAGATTAAAACAATTGTAATGATTTCTAAAATGCACCATCAATTATCCACATTTACTGAATGAACTATATTTCAATTCAATTCAATTCATTTTATTCAGTCTATTATACATGAATATAACAGAAATGTGTTTTGAAGCTAAGCGATCAAACATAAATATAAGTATTAAGTGATTGGAAAAATAATACAGATATACTAGCAAGTAAGAGCCAACAAAGAATGGGGATCCTGCATAAAATGAAGTATATGAACATTGATAAAACTATATTAAGATTATTTTATACTAATTAGATGATTAGAATAGTTTATAAAATTATTACAATAGAAAAAAAAAATCAAATCTAAAATTTAGCAAATCTAAGTTTAAGACCATAAACTACTGTAAGACAAAATAAAATAACAAAGCATTTTATTTTTCTTTAAACTCACCAATAAACAACAACAACACTGTTGATATATCTTAATAACTTGCTCCCCTCCAGTAATAATGGTATATCCAAAACAACAAACTTGTAACCTTAGGAAATTAATATTTGATGAATTCATAATTAGTGTTATTTAAAAAAAATTATGGAATTGCTACTTTACCATCAGACTTATTATCCATCATCATTAAATTCAATATTTTATTTACAAATAAAAATACATTACTTGGATAATACATTACTTGGATAACACAAAAATGTATACCTAAAAATTGCATTTAACTGAGAAATTGACCTATTCATTGATAATATATGTAAAAATAAATCGATTTTGAGTTATTAATACAGTGTTAGAGAGTAAAATAATAGCTATAAAATGGTAAAAAAATCATTCAAATCGGACTTTCCTTATGAAGTTACAAGCGTTTAACCACACAGCTGTTTAAAGAACAATATATGAGAAATTAACTGTCAAAGTTTACAATTTCAGGCATTTCTCATGCAGAAACTATCTTTAAATCCTTAACAAGTATTGTTTTAACATTGAAAATGGGGAAAATAACAGCATAGAATGATGTGTAGATATATAAAGGTTAGTTTAGTGCAATAAAATAGATTTTTAAAAATTTGACATTCAAGCATGTTTTGGCCATTTTCTCTGAAACACGATTTGCGACGAGTGACTGGTTTGGCTTGTCTTTGCCACATATGTTTTTTTTTTTTTTGTGAGAATGCTCAGCTACTAGTGACTAGCATACCTAGTATGGTATTACTACCTCTATCATTATTTTCATTATGTTCTGGTTACTGACCCTAAGTAATCCCCCATCCTCATCTTGGGATACGCCCCCATCCATTTCCACACCTCACTCTCCTCCTCAACTGGCTTCCCCCCATGCTTTATTAATAGTCAATAATTTTTTGTTAAATTTACCTTTAATGAAATGTACAAAAATCTGCCACATGATTTCTTTTTGTATATATGGATGGGTGCAAGAATTAAGTAATTTTCTTCTATTTTCATCCCCAAATATGCAAGATGCCAGCTTTGGTCGATCCAAGTTGCCATCGGATAGTAGCATGTCCTGTCCAAAGTGTTTCACAATAAGAGTCCAAGCTGGTTTGTGTTGCTCGACCACTTGCCTGCAAAGAATGACATTCGTAATGCATAGTATAGCATGATTCAAATGAGCGAGTCATTGGATTAAATAAGTGCAGTATATCAAATTAGATCTAAGAAGGCTTGGTGGAAAGGGGAACACATTCACAGAGTTTGTTTCTGCTCCCAATGTTTTCCACACACTCAAAACATGCTCAGCAAAAAATGACTGCAGATTTGATATTAAAGCCCCAAAATTTCAGTTGTTAAGAAAATTTTTTATATATGTTTGGCCTATAAAGATTTATAAATATAATACGAAATTGCTAGTTTAACTAAATATAGATATTTCTAAACATGAAAAAAATTATAAAATAAGACTTAAATTTGATTTTTTTCTGTTCCACACAAAAAATGAAGCTGAATGAAGTTTTTGTGTTTGATTTTGGGATAGGTCTGCAAAATGATTTTGGGATAGGTCTGCAAAATGATTTTGGGATAGGTCTGCAAAATCTCAAGCTTACTTGATCAACTGCAGTAAGCGAGATACGAAGTACAAAAACTAATCTAATTAGAAAGGGCGTACTTTATTGACTCTATATAGTATAAAAGTGAGAGCATTCCAGCGGATGTGATCTACAACCTCTGAATTTGCCTGGTAACGAAGTCGTCAAGAAAATGGTAATCTTCTATGAGAAATAGTCTCTATTTCTCTCTTTTTTTAATTCTTTTGCGTAAAATTATAATTTATGTCAATATTTTTCCATGGTTTATAATGATTAGTTTAATGCATACGCATTTATTGTAAAAAAATGTTTTAGTTAAATTTTGCCGGGAATGGGGCTTTAAAATAGGTTGAGTGTGAGCACTCTATTACCTCATTATCCCAGCTAGCATCATATTTAGCTATCATTCCCACTACCCACCCACGTAACCCCTTTCCCCATCTGGGAAACCTTTCAGGATTACATGGTTATCCTTGCTTTTCATGTTTGTTGCTAAGTTAAATCATATGTTAGTCTCATCATAATGATATGCTGCTATATAATGCACATATTTTTCCATGATTTAAATACGAGTATAAAAAAATCACCATTTTAACAAGCAACTAGACCAAGCTTCCATGCATGGACTGTCCCACTGTTTTCTATTGTAATAGCTTTGTTATTTCACATTTCCATTTCCATTATTTCCATTTTTCTTAAAATGCTGTCTGTTATTATATTTTTAAAATCAAAAAGGCCTGGTAAAAACACTTTTATAAGGATAATACCATACTAGTACTAGTTTACTACAGTAATCTAGTAAAATATAATTTACTATAATACCTCCATTATAATACACAATACTCAGTACACTGAATGGCCTCTTAATGTAATAGTCAGATGTGGTATGCATTGAAAGTCTCAGTGAATCATGAAAAAAGGAAATTCAAGTTAAGATATTATATGGTAACCATTTTTTACTCCTTTCTTATATTTTGTTAAGTTGGTCAAAATGTTAACTTGTGTTTTTTTTCTCACACAACATGAATGAACTCAATTGTGAATTTAAAGACTTAAGGCATAAATTTCTATATTGTTTAAATGATATTTTGATAAGAAGCGAGTCTAATGATATCTTCAAAACTTGATGATATTAAGGGGTCGTTCATATATATATATAAGATTATATATATATATATATATATATAGATAGATAGATATCCAAATAAATATAGAGTTGCTGCATAGACAGATCTGTATATATAAAATAAGAAGTCAAACAAAGTTCTGTATCTGTCTCAAAAATAAAATATTTATTTAACTAGTACTTTCGACGATAGGTCATCATCAGGTACTCTCAGTACCTGATGATGACCTATGGTCGAAAGTACTAGTACAATATTTTAGTTTTGAGACATACCCATATACATACATAAACATACATACACACAAACTGTAAATATATATACATATATACATATGCAAGTTGCGAAAGTAAATAAAATACAAAAAGAATACATAAAATCATATGCAGTCAATCAGAAATGCAACAGCAAAGGAAGAACAGTACACTTTAAAAGAGTGGTGAAATGGTCACGCGTACCTCTCAGAACATTGCTATTTTTTCTCCAATAAAAGTACACTTCTTAATTTCCATTTCCATGTATATTTGCTATCAACATACATTATACACCTATATGAACCCCACACACATTATATATGAAAATATTCGATGACTAAATATAATAACCGAAAGGTCCACTGATTTATCTCAGATAAGAAAGTATAATACATACTCCAACGATGGCGTGTATTTCAATACTTGGAGTATGTATTATACTTTCTTAAATATAATAACAAAACAAATAAAACATAACAGTGTTTTGAATCTTAATAGGATTCTAATTAGAAGAGAAAAGACAAAGAATAAGTTACATAAAAAAAAACCTACAAAAAAAAAAAAAAACCAACTTTAGTTTAGTCAGAGTAATTAAAAAAAGGCTTAGAGTACAGTGTTTTTTCACAGATTATGCTAAAGTGTGGTAATTTAAAAAAAAATAGATCATCTAGTAAATTGTGAATTCTAAAATTTGTTGAGCCATTAACAAATATTTCCCAATATTGTTGTAAATTATTTTTAAATAAGACATTTTTATATTTATGAAAACCTTAGTTCTAATATCTTCTAATCTTGAACATTCTAGTAGGAAATGTTTGATATATTCAATGCTGTTTTGAGTTGGTTAAGTTTTAGTTCTTTTAACTTGATGTATCTTGTAGTCTTTGTCTTTAAGTTTTGTGTTTTGGATGCCTGTGTAAATATTATTATTATTATTACTACTATTGTTTGTGTTAAAGAAACAGTCCGTTAAGGATTAAGAAATTTCTCAACTTTCAGTTATACACAGACGGGAACAAATATGTTTTTGCTGATTTACAGCCCTTTAACTGTATTACTAAGCTTTTTATGACAGTCTCGGTTGATAATCAACCATGGGCTATTAATGAATTCTAAAGCTATTACATTGTAGCTTAGAATTAGAAGAGGTTGTGTATTTTTACAGAGTACACACAAATGATGCCTTGAATGAAAAGGAATGAACCAAAGTACTGATAACCATCAACTCTTAAACTTTTATTAGTAATTTTCTAAAATAACACCATACGTGTATTACAGTATAACTGTTGAACAAAAAATAATACATGAATGAGGTTTTCTTGCTTGTGTAGACCAAATACTCAGTACATTCCTATATTGTGAAAAAAAAAATTCACAACCGCTCCAAGTCACACTAAAGTTTGATGATTGAAAAGTTAGTTTAGCATTTAGACAAGATCTCCAAACATATTTTTTTTTATATATACAGTACTGTAGAACCCCTATTAAGGGGATATCTTTGGGACCAAAGAGTGTCCCCTATTCAGGGGAGACTAACCAGAAAATTGAAATTGTCTCATTAATGGGGGATGGCATGTTTTCGTACAAGGACGACATAGATTCTTTATAATTTTATTTTAATTGACCTAAGAATAAGTTAAAGTTGAATTATAACTAATTTATAACAATAATTTGCAATGCTAAAATAATTCATTTATGAAATGAAATCAATTATATGTAATTAATTAAAACAAAAGTTGTATATACTTCCAATATTGTTTTTTGATTCAAATTTAATGTTAATGACCAAATATTCTTTTTTTAAATATTGAACTTTCTATTGGATGCACAAGATAGGATACTAAAAATAGGGTAATTGTACGGTATAGATTAGAATCCTATATGAAAATACAAAAAATCACCATTGTTAATGGTCAAAATTAACAAGATTGTATTTATAAGAAGTAACACATGCACTAGGCATATACCAATGTCCATTCTAAACATTGAGAGAAAAAAAAAATTATGGTTTAATGTTAAGTTTATTGCTCAAAAGGTTTCTTATTTTGCAACTACTGTAGTTGTTTTGATAGAATAAAAAATATAAGTGTCTCCTAGGGGTTAAATTGTATTGGTTTGACCATTTTGCACATTCAAAAAGTGTCTCTACTCCCTTAATAGGGATGTCCCCTTCATAGGGGTTGGCCGTAGTGTTAAAAGATTTCCTCTCGTTTCATGGAAAAGTATCCCTTTAATAAATAAGTGTGTCCTGTGATTAGAGATGCCCCAAAGGAGGTGTTCTACTGCATAAGAAATGTTACATGTGAAATATGAACTCTAAATTGTGGTAATACTGTACTTTACACATACATATTAATGGTAAACAACAAAAGATGAAACTGAAACTGTGAATTTAAAAATTATTAGGGATATTAAAGAAAGAAAAGAAAATACAATTCTTCAATTGAAAGTTTATTTTTCATAAATTATTAAGTTCTAAGCCACACAAAAGCTTGATGACAGCATGTTAAAACATTTTAACGAAAAGTTGGATCAAAAATGTGACATGCATGTTCTTTCTGTGTGTGTAAATATCTGTTACTCTCCCAGTTCACCTGACCTGGAATATAGCTGCCCATACCCAGATAGTTGAAATGGGTGACAAATTAATGTCTTAATAGGGTACTACATAAAAATCATGAAATAATTTTTTATTTATGCAATTGTTTATTGCTCAAAAGGTTTCTTATTTTGCAACTACTGCAGTTGTTTTGATAGAATAAAAAATATAAGTGTCTCCTAGGGGTTAAATTGTATTGGTTTGACCATTTTGCACATTCAAAAAGTGTCTCTACTCCCTTAATAGGGGTGTCCCCTTCATAGGGGTTGGCCGTAGTGTTAAAAGATTTCCTCTTGTTTCATGGAAAAGTATCCCTTTAATAAATAAGTGTGTTCTGTGATTAGAGATGCCCCAAAGGAGGTGTTCTACTGCATAAGAAATGTTACATGTGAAATATGAACTCTAAATTGTGGTAATACTTTACACATACATATTAATGGTATTAAAACAAAAGATGAAACTGAAACTGTGAATTAAAAAATTATTAGGGATTTTCAAGAAAGAAAAGAAAATACAATTCTTCAATTGAAAGTTTATTTTTCATAAATTATTAAGTTCTAA